AATAATTTGACTTTTCGAGCGAGTGAATTTAAAGGAATCCTTCGCGGAAAATTCTTGCATTTTTTTTCAGCATGAATGTATCAGTTGTGATCACTAGAAGGCAATACACAAAGTTTTACGCATGAAGGTTCGGTCTCCGAAGCAGCAACAAACGCGCGAAAATCCATCATGGACATCGAAGGTAATTCGGGCGGAGCCAAAGGCGGGGCATGGAATAAGTCCGCACAGGGGCGCCTACGTATCAGGCGACGCAATGAAAGAATCGGGTTGAAGCGCGTGATTTCGGAGAGTAGAGACAAATCGATCGATAGAATAGGATGGAGTAGAAGTGTAAGATGTGAATGCAATAAAGCAGAAGGCCAGAAAGAGTTTCTAGTGAAGGTACTCCAAGAACCAAGTGGAAGCATCCCGTCGCGAGCATTTGTGGAAGACTTCGGGGGCATTCGAGCGGGGTTTAAAAGGGCAGCTTCGCTTTTCGAATGTTTTACCAAAAAACAGAGGCAGGTTCTTCTTGTGGATGATGGATCTAAAGCCAGTGAGTTATGGCTGAAATGGAATGATGATTTTTCCGTGAAGGACTCCTTCAAGCGATAACATATGGCTCAGTAACTCAGCAAGTCGGCAGAGGAATGGTTGTGCGGGGGAACGTATTCACAGAACCCACTTGAACAGGCCTCGCTTGATACAGATATGATACAACTATTACCGCTCGAAGCAGTATTCATCTTCAACAAAACATGATGCTGATAAAAAACTTCATTTTAGAGGGTCGCAGTTGATGCCCATTTTAGAGAAACTTTCTGTTTGGGAGAGTGAAAAGTTGAGACCACGACATTGACCGACGCAGAAGTTGTGCTGCTCCGTTTGAAAGCCGGATGTGTGAAGTACAGTACCCATATTGGCAGAAATAAGAGCAAGTCCACTTGAAATGGTCGAAGCATGTACTCCAAAAGAATGTCGTAATAAAGTAAGAAGCACAACTGTAACAGGACTAACTAAGAGATATCATCAAGTGCATGCTAATACTAGTACTATATATGAATCTCTAGTTGCGAATCTCTCAGATGTTTTTTTCGTTTAATTTACCGCTATCGAAACCCAAAAATAATCGTTTCAAGATATTCCTATGGTATATGAGCGAAGGTTGACGAAACAGTATCAGGTTCCGATACTTGACCAGTATCTTGACCAGTTCAGACACATTCGGTCCATCATGGCCCATATGGTCCTTATGAACCACATATTGTGTTCGCGTGAAAAAGCCTTACATTTGTGAAAGCGAGGGTGAGCATGCAAATACAAGTGGTGAAGGTGAGAAACGACAGCGACCGCTCGGCTTTCACCACTGCAGTGCTCCCATTATTAGAACTGAAAAGAAATCGTTAGACGGTAAAGTTTTCGTGATCAGAAAATGTGGTAGCATTAAGGTAGAAAGCCATGGCGCCGTTACAGTGCAGTGATCTTACCGCCGTGCTCCCGACCAGGGTCAGTCCTATCGTTGTTACTTTTTCAAAAATTTTTACGACCCCCCTCCCCCAAGGTGGATTTGGTACGACCCCCTTTTCGACACCTCGACCACCATATTCCTCTCTATAGTATTTAATTCTGGTACCACTCAACCCACCAAACTCCGCCCACTTTTTCCTCCAAAAATGCCGTCGAGCGGGGGGTATATACCCACTATGAAACAGTAAAAATTTACCAAAATTTCCCTAAATTATCCAACCCCAACTCTTTCCTATCCCACGCTTCATTTCTAGGGTGGGGACATACCTTTGACCTTTTCTGCAATACTGAAAAATCGCTGCGTAAGAGATTCGGCCTGGCATGTTTGAGTGAATCTCACCGGCTGCTGCCAGTCACAGTGTATTGTTGTGCTCTTATTTTGATCACATCATGAGTGAGGAAGAGCGCCAACTCAGGCCGCAGTGAAAGCTGATTTAAAAACCGTTCGCCTTTCAGCTCGACTTGGAATTAGCATGAAATCCCTTTCAACGCCAATATACACTCTCACATCTAGCTCGCTCTTACACAAGCTCGACTATCGCTTAAAACAACTAAGTTAAAGGATAAATAAAGGATAAAGCATTTGCCGTTGATCAATCCCTTTTGGGATGCGGCACGCATTCTACTTCCATTTGTACATTCGTAGTGGCGTTTGAATGCGATGTGGCCTATACAATGACTTGCGGGGGCCAGCCGATGTACAAGTCAGTGTTTTTATCCTCCCAGACAAGTCTGGTACCAATTAACCGACCCCGGAGGGATGGAAGGCTTGGTTGGCCCGGGCGACTCACGACCCAGGATTTGATCCCGGACCGCTCGCGTGGTGAGCGCGCCACTTGTCACTACACCACTTCCGCCCCAAAAAATAAGATATACGAAAATTACAGAAATGACATTCAAAATCCAACATACGTGCAGTTCTTTTCATTCGTATACCCCTATGATCGGTTTGCACATTATTGTGGCACGCCCGGAAAGTGAGAAATGTGTTTGCTTAGCGTTCTTAGTGGTCTCCAGGGAATAGAAACGCGAATCTATGGACCTTCAAGCTTCAACAAATTGAGGGGTTTTGCAACAAAGAAAATTGCAGGTCAGCGCGAAAACTTTTCTCATTAGGTTTCAAGAAGTCTGTCGTTTTCCAACCCCTAATTTTAAATGCACGCATCTCGGCTTAGACTGAACCTTTCGAGTTGAGTAAAAAATCGTGAGCGAGAATCCTTTCTAATAGAAGCTGTCCTTTTCTATAAGTTCAACTGGGTACGTTTGTTTGGAATGCTGGACCTCTGGAGGCGATGAACTGAGGGAAGGTCGTTTTAGCATCATGTTGGGTTTTGATGTATTTCTCTTCAAGGAAGCTATCGAGATCGTCAGAAGTTTGACAGTAGATAGTTCAAGGGTCTACTAAGTACAATTTGAAGGGTCGTCCATCAAATTGTCGCTTGTTTTATGTGATAAAAGCGACTCGTTTCTCTACAGATTTGCGACGTACAATAAAGAGCGGATTCTTCTCTATAGTCTACGAAAGTTTGCTGAATAGATCGACGGCGATGAAGCTCTACAAACTTTGCAGAATTTAAACTGTGCTGGAGGAGGGTTGTGGCAGCTTTCATGGGGCCAGCGGCTGGCCATGTTCTTCAGTATCAGGTGGAACTGTTACAGTGGAGAATCAATCTTTATATAAGTCAAAATCATCAAAAACTCTAGGGCATGGGTCCAGCATTCCTCATTATAAAGGAACGCACACATCCCTGAAAGGTGTCTTGAACGCACATCGCACGGCCAACCCTTCACAAGTTGTACCAGCTAAACTTCAGAGTGGTTCTGCGAACATCTTACTTAGTAGACTTTCCAGCTTCTTCCGTATAGCTTGGCTGTACAAACCATATACGCCCAGTTGGGCAGAACCTCCTCCTTACGAGTGCTTCAATCAGAACTTTTGGCTAATCGGAGACACCGTCCGATATCCGACCACTACTCTCATCATATTCAAGGCTCTCGCTTTCGTTACAATAAATTTTTTAACTACTGCTTCTGAGCACATTTATTGCGAATCTAGGCCAAAGCATCGTTAATATCTTGAACTGTTCCCGCTACTTTCAGGTCTATTTAAAGCTAGAAAAAGAAAGTCATGCCAACTTGCTCATCGAGTATACCGCATTCAAAGCTTTGAAAAAGCTATAAAATATTTTAGGACAAAGTTGAGCTAAGCATTGGATAGAGCTGGAAAAGCTCTTCAAAATGATATCAACATCAATTGCAGCTTTCCTAGATTTCAAGGGAAATAAAGCATCCAAAAGTGGAGTGTCAGAAAACGACAGAACTTTCTGAAACACCTAATAATTCTACCTCCTGGAAGTACGATGAAGCTTTACTATTACTATACCATAGCACACCAGAAAGACGATTGAGCAGGTGCAGGTGGCAAGCACAATGCACAGGCTGTTCCTCCACTGCAATAGAGCGGTTACATATCATGTCTAACTGAAAGGAACACTAAAAAACTGGAATTTAAGTGCAATAATGAATTCTACACGAGAAATGCAGTTCGAGACTTTTCCGTAAGCTCACAAAGTACTGATACACAAGTACTGAGTACGGACAAAAAATCAAGAGTAAAGAAACACAAACGTTTGGATAAACTTTCTTGTAGTCAAAGCCTGCTCCATAACCGAAAGCCGGTATTTGTGGTCCGATTCTTAAATAAGTGGTTGCTGGATAGAGGAACCACGTGGTCAGTATCGGCAGGAAGTAAATAGTCAAGAAAAATATGGGGAGAAACTTCCTGATCACCTGAAAATGTCTGAAATTCCCTTCTTCAAGCCAATGGTCGCGATAAGCTCCTAAGCGACCCTCTCTGTGAGATCGGGCGAGGTTGTCAAGCAAAGAACTTCTGGCAGTGTCACGACTCGACAGCGCGCAACAAGAGTGCATGTATCGCTTTATTTCTGAGACCTGCCCGTACCAGTTTTCCTTATTCATAGTTTGCATCATATCCTCTTTGACAGCGCCCATCGTTCACCTCAAGCGGACCAATTTCCAATGAATGGCAGAAATGCGACAAAATGCGATAAAGGTACCATCCCTTATGCAAGACTTGTGAAACTCCTATGAATGACTTGATTTCTCCATGGGGTCGTGGTGGAAACGCTGCTTAGAATAATTGTGTTGCACGGAAATCTGCTTAGTAATAATAATGAGCTACGGAAATCTGGCGCTCTGTGACCCGTGCTCTCCATCCGTCAAGGTTTGCCGCGTTACGAATTTATAACTGGACTCGGAGTGTAAAGGCGCAGTGGAATACAAACAGAAAATGGAATATACCCATAACCATGTTAGAAGCATTTTATTTCTCTCAAAATGCTAGCAATTAATACCATTCAATCAGCTGACTACAAGGGTGCCATAAAGATGCAGAGCTAAGCTGTAACACTTGGAGCACCTTATCCATTCCGATACTTTCTGAATGGTCACTCTGCCGCCGTCGCTATTTGATCATTTATCTTATTTCTAATTATCCAAACAGATACAAGCAGTAGAAAAAGAGTTACCAAGAGTGAGGTCAGCAAAATTTTTCATTCAAATTCTCTTACCTTGTTGCCCTTTAATGGTAAACAAATAATTATGGCTCTCGTGATCGACAGGAATGTTGCAGAATATAGAGTGATGTATAACAGATAAAATTGTAATACGTATATTGCAGTAAGATATCGGCCCGATGGGAGGGTGGTCAACCAGCCTGTGATCAGTCCCGAGATTGGTACTCTGATCGTGAAAAAGTCTATCACAAAGAAGAGTGCGCTCTGAAAAATTGTATACTCTCTGACTGCGACCTACAAATGGGTAGTGACTGAAGTACGGTGGTATGCTAAATTCTGGCACCGCACATTCAATGATGACACGTGGAAATCAAAATGTTTAATTGCTGACGAAAGCGGTCAACACAGGGTGCGACATAAATTTGGCGACAAGGATGATCTCCACAAAACGCAACAACTTCTTTATATTGTTGTCTTTGTTCAGTGAATGGATCCACTTCAGACGAAGCGAATGGGAACCCTTTCCCTGCAATATCATTTGGGAACCTGACAATGTACTGAAAGGATGCATTGTCACACCGTCACACGACGGTGAGAGTTACATTTCACGGCTTTTCCAGTGAAGTTGGCGGGATTTGAAAGCAAGGGCTTGTTTTAGTATTGTCAAAAAGTGTGAAACTGCGCAATTCAGTGAGGATGAAGTCACGACAAAATTCCTACCCAACTGATAATAACAATTGATGATAGGTGAGAACGAATCTGCGTAACACCAGTTTATTCTTCTTTTATAAAACATTAAGTTGTCGATATGTATGTCGGTGTATCGGTGTTTCTGCGTGTCGGTGTGCAAGTGAGTCGATAATCGGCCACAAAATGAAATGGAAGGTTGCTCATAGAATAAACCAACGGCTTTTAAGATTAGAGTTTTGATTGTGTGTCTGTGATGTCTTCAGCTGCTATATAGACATTCACTGCGTATACTATCATCCATCCTACACGTGCTGCTGCTGCGGGAGCTGCTGGGTACTGCAAGGAAGCGGTAGTGGGAAAAGAAAAGGGGGTGAAACCTGCTGTCTACAAACATAAGTTCCGAATTGGTGGTGAAGTACAAGGCGGTGACACGATTGCGACAAGTTACTATACCGCAAAAGGCAACTCTCGGGATGAAATCGGTGTATAAAACCGTTTCGTGGTGATGACTGAGCTGCGGAACAATGAAAGTGGAAGGAAAGCAAGAGAAATCTTGGAAACGCTAAAATTAAGGCCTTAACCTTCAGTAAGGTCGGATGTGGTACGATGGCGAGACAGGGCGATCAAAGAAGACAAAACACGCGAGAGAGCACGCCGTTCGAGAGAGCACGCTGATCTCTACATCAATCGCGGTGGGTGGGAAGCGTTGCAACGGGGTCGATGGTTGCAGGCCCGTAAGGATTAGCGCCCTAACCGCGCAATATGTGAGAAGAAGTTGGCTTGATCTATTAAGTGCAGAGCCCTTCATTTCCCTTGCGCTGTCCTTCCTACTATACGAGTTGATACCGGGGGTCTGCCTTCAAATAAACGCCAACACAATCTTGACCAGATACATAATGTTGCTGCCGCAGCTGGAAGAGGAGATGGCAAGCGGAAGCGGGATTTAGAGAACCTCTAACGGGGTAAACCTCCATATTGAGATTCCACTCTTGGGTGACGTTAGGATTGTTTTGCATCTCTACTATGCAAAACGACTTTTATTGCACACAAGTTCACAATACGAGGTGGTGAGCTCGTGATGGAGCTTAGCATAATAAAACGTGGGAAGCGTTCGGAAGATAAGGGAGTCCTGATCGGCTGCTGAGAGGTAAAACTAGTAGGTGTTGAAAAGGACGGGCACGATTGGATGCACAGGGAAAAATAGCATATGTATGAAAATGTGGGCCTCTAGCGGTGATCCCCAAAAAACCAATGATATTATCCAAAACCAGTTTTGCTCCGCCCGCTATCGCGCGCATCACACGGCAGGCTTTAGCGAAACTGGAGGACCCATGGAATATCAGCATGAGGTACTCCATTAACCACCTCACTATTGAATGTGTTAGACCTTTCCCAGTTTCGCTGAAGTCCATCGAGAATACGCGTGATAACGTCTGGAGCTGAACTGGTATACATATTTTCACAACTGTAAACATCCAGCATTCTTCTTGAATTCAGATAATTTAGCGGTGAATAGGATTGCTGTCAGTCTCAAAATGAAAATGAAATATGCCTATTTACATAAGTGAGGAGCTAAGGCTTATCATTTATTTACATTCACCATTATTTAGAACCCCGAAAGGATTAGCGGTTCAATGAGTTGGGCTTTCTTGGTATGGATTTATTGGGTTGTCTCATAATTCCTGTCTCAATTTCGACACTTTTGTTTATTCAAGTTTTATCTCTTCTAGGAAACAACTGATCAATAGCATAACCACCATCATGGTCACTGATATGCGTGCATTTGCTAGTGAGCGTTTGGAAGCTTCCCGCCCAGAATGAGTGAAGCTGGGGGTTGAAGAATTTGGAGAAGTCGTTTTTGGGGTGGTCGCAATCTTTAACTTTCATTTGTCATCTGCACATTCGGGGT